TAACCTCTTCACTTCCTTTTACTCACCTTACTCATCATGCTGCATCCTAATAAACTATCTCCCAGTTACATCTGACTTTGGCTAATAAAAAGCACTATCTCTCACTCAAGTCTTTATGTGTTCATACCCGCTAGTCCTCCGTTCTTCTTTACTACCTCATTACTTCCTACTCTTTCTCCAGAAGTCAGCTCAGGTGTAAGCTGAGAATCATGTCTGTGAATCATTTTTGTATCCCCCAATCTTGATTACCTGCTCTAGCTTTCTGTCCTCATAATATGTGCTTACCCTATTCTTCCCCTCATGCTGTTTTATGGTTCTCTATGTCCTAGGCTTTCTCTTCCATTGACTGAGTTTCATGAAGGTAGGAACTGTCTTCTCTGTATCTGTTCGGTATACTCAGTACATGTTTAGTGAATGGATGGAAGCCAGCATCAGGAACTATTTCTTGACTCTTGGAAATCTTTGAGTCCAATAGGTGTCCTTGAGATGCTAATCTCAGAGTTCTTGTGTGCCGATTTCAGTGGTCTTGAGACACAAACTTGGAGTTTATAGAGGTTACAAGCCAACTGCGCTGGGGAAACTAAATACAAGCCAGCCCTGCTTTTGTTTCCTTAAGTTTTATTGCTCTGCTGCTTTGTGCCAAAAATAGCATCTCTATTAATGATATCTCCATTTGAAATTTATCTGGGAACAAAGCTGCTTTTAGTGGACCCTGCCTGGCGTCAGAGAGTTTGGGAAACTGGTATTTCTTTCCCTGAACCCAAGTAGCCTAAAAGAGGAGGAGGGGATACCAGATTAGGAGTCCCCTCAGGTATCTTAGGACATGCCTGAGTCAGTCACTGGAGTTGCCGGTAGAAAGCAGGAGAATGTGTGGCAGGCTGAGCTGTGATTCTTAGAATTGCCTGGAGAACGTGTGTTTTTGCAATATACACGAGTGACTGAGTGGCCAGCTTATCTCTTGTGGGAGGGTGGGATGGTGAGACTGGGGATAGTAATTGGTTCTCAGTGTTCACAGCCTCTGATGAGACTTAGATCAGTCAGTGTACTTGATGGAATTCCCACAGTGCCCCCCACACGTTATATTGGAAGACATTTTTGAAGTTTCTATTGTTATTTTTACCATTTTTTTTTTAAAGAACATTGTTCATGTTTTTTTTTTTTTTTAACGATTTATTTATTTATTTATACAAGCACTGGGTACAGTCAGAAGCGTGGGAGGGTGAGAGAATTCACCAGAGTCAGAGTGGAGAGCAGAACAGGCAGACTGACGAAATACACTGCTGAGGGGAGCAGGGGGCGGCAGGAGAGGTCTGTGCACCATGTGGGACCTTCACCGGCGGCTGGGGATCGAACCGGCGCTCAACCACTGTGCCACCAGGGGAGGCCCTATTTTTACCATTGTTAGCATAGTTTGTGACTGTAAAATAGAGTGAGATATTCTCAGTCATAGAGATATTACTCTATCCCATTTTTTCATCATTAGCCATCACCTTCAGTTTTAACTGCTGATTTCTGGTTTCCACCAGCTCAAGGGACCCTGGTATTTTGCCCTGTGTATTGATTGCCATCTGTGGTAAAAGTATACAGTATGTAAGGAAATAATCCAGGTAATCCAGGTTTAACCTTTTTTTTTTTTTTTTTTTTTTTGCTATTCTGTTTCCTGGCGCTTTCAGGAATGCACTGTGGTAAAACGAGAATTGGTGATATAACCAAAGATTCGTACTCATGGCATAAAGCTGAAAGTTACTGTCATCCTGGTAGTAGGAGCAGCATATTGTTTGGTAGTAGGTAGGGACAGAGAAAACCAACTAAGCCAGTGTACCCTTTGCATTGCTCATCGGAGTCAAGTTCCTGTTATATTCAAGAGGAGTCATACTGTTGCATTAATTTCAAGGACCCAGATGATACATGATAACTGCTTGAATATTTAATCTGTTATCTATCATTCCTGTTGCGTATTCAATGACAAGAAAATTCTACCTATTTTAGTCTTCTAATCCTTTCATTTCCAAACCAGTCCCAGGGTCAGGTATGTGTGGAAAGGGGCCAAGAATTGACAGGATATCTAAGCAGCCATCTGTACACTACATGGAAATACCAAGTATTTCTGCTAGCACAGAAGAAATGATATAAGGACATCCTCAGAGGAGGCTTAAATCAGCCAGTGGACTCAAATGAACCCTTGCATTGGGTTTGGCACTGTGAATAAGGGCAGATCTAAAATAAGTAAAAAGGCATACTCCTTGCCCATGAAAAATAGAGTTAAATTGGGAAAACAGTAAATGTACAGACTTATGAAAGAAGAAAAAAGTTCTATAAGGTAGTGAGTGCCACCTGACTTGCCCAGGAGCCTTGATTTACCATGCCAGGAAATAGAAATAAGTATAATATTAGGATTAGCTTTTGAACCTGAACTTTAGCATGATAGCAAGGAAGCAAACCAAAGGACAGTGTATGTCCTACAGTAGGGGATATTTTTCAGCCACTACAGTACTCAAAGTTGGTAATCATTTAATAAGCAATAGTTCCAGTCATGGAGGACAGCAGGTAATTAAATTCAGAATATGGGCCAAAGCTTCTTACCTAGCCTTTAAAGCGCAGTCTTATCTGGAACTGAAAGAAGGAACACAGCAAGAACAAGAAAAAGACTAGGAAGACTTGGAGAAAGGTTTAAATTTCTGGAGGTGATGGTAACAGGACCAGAAGTCTGACCGCCAAGATTCATGCAGTTCTGACCTTGTTGGCTGGGCAGGTATCCCTCCTGCCTTGGGGATCTTTGGGAGTCTCTGCCTGGGTGGGTTGAGGCAGGCTGGGCAGGGAGGATGGTTAGTGGGCGACTTTACTGAAGTTGATTCCTAAGGTTGAGCCAGATCCTCTCCCTGGGGTGTGAGCCCTCTGGGTCAGGGCAGGGCTCATCTGGGGAACCTACGGGAGCACCACACCTGCCTCATTAGTGGATGTCTGGGGAGGCCTTTGAAGATGAAACACTCCATAAGCACTCATTGTTTCTGGTTTTTGGACAAAACTAGTACTTTGGTCTCCAGGGGCTGTTGATCTGGCTTCTTTGTATGATTCTGGAATTTGCTGCAAACTGAGGAGTGTAGGAGAAAACAAACCTGAAGAAGTTTGTGAAAAAAAAAAACAGCTGAACTCCCACCAAACCCCCATGCTTTAGCTTGTAAAGAGAATTCCTTCCCATCCACCTTTCACATTGTGGGTTTGGGTGCACTCTGTCTTGACCTGTTCTTTGCCTGCTGGGTTTGGGGTGTGTGTGTCTCTGGTTCCCAGACGCTATAGAGAATGCCAGTAGCTGGCATATGGTGATTGCTGAATAAGCTGCCCGCTGACACATGTCTCCTGCAGGCACAGAGAACTGACTGGCACAGGCAATTCTGAACCCCCATCTCATTGTTTCAAAGATGCCTTTCTGTGGCTGACCTATGCCATAGAGAATCGAGGGAAAGAGAGAGGGAATGAGTGACTCTGATTCTGTCCAGTGGGGGCAATAGCTCCGATAGGCAGATAGACCTTCACAGTATATTTACTGTTTTTACTTTTAGTGCTTTAACTGAGCCCATTGTTCAGCAGGTGTTGTTAAATGCCTGTTTTGCATCAGACATTAGTGTCCAACCTGAGTGAGCTGCTGGTGAGGTCAGTAGAGACACTGGGAATTAGTCCAGTTACTCAACTCCTATGTGCCAGGCACTATTCAAGGGCCCGGGAATATGGCTGTGAACAAAATAGATGAGGAACTCACATTATAGAAGGAGCGAAGCAATGCAGCAAAAAACAAATAGGCAGTGTGTCAGATGGTGATGAGTGCTGTGAAGAAAAGTAAAGTGGAATTACCAGGGTAGAGTGGTGGTGGTGATGGTGGTGGTATGCTAGAGGTGGTTGTGGAGGGCCTCTGATAAGGTGACGTGAAGGAACTGAAGCAGTGCGTGGAGGTAGTAAACACTGTTCACGCTCTTCTAGGCAGCGTGAACAGCAAGTGCAGAAGCTTTGGGACAGGAAGGTATTGGGGGAACTGGAGTGAAGGGGAGAGTGGCAGGACATTGGATGAGAAGCAGGTCCACTGCAGGTCATGCGGGACCCTGAGGTCCATGGCGTGGCTTTGGCTTGTCCTGAAGGGAGATATGAAGCCAAAGGCAGGTTTGTACAGAGGAACTGCACAAACTGATTTTGATTTAAAACCAACGTAGCTGCTGTGTGGAGAATAGCCTAGAGGGGGCTAGGGAAGAGGCAGGGCTGAGATGGCTGTCTCCGGGCAGCTAACCACGTGGAGCAGCTGTCCTTGGATTGGCCACCATGAGCCTAGGATTTAAGTGCCTGGAAAATGAGGGGCAGCCGCTCCCCACCCCTCCTTCCGTCTCTCAACTTATTGTATGAACAGAGCATAACTTTAGCAGCTGGCGTGTCGTAGAGTCAAAAGGATCAGCTTCTTTTCGGGTTACTGCTTTCTTGGTTCTGCCTCATTCATTTTGGTGGTCGTGGAAGGTGAGATTGCAGAAATACAGGAAGGGAAGGAGTAGAATCTGCATGAGAGCAGACAGCATAAACCTTGGGAACCTGGCAAGCCTGAACTTTGTCAAGAGTCACAGAGCCACTCCTCATTCCACTACCTCCTTTCCCACCCTTTCCAGAAGCCTCGGGAGAGTTGGGGGAGGGAGGGGCATCAATGATTGTGCAGTGCCTTGGGGTTATCAAGTGTCAGAACCGAAGGGACATTGGAAATCGTCTGGCTCAACCCTTCTCCCTCCGTGTACAGGTGCAGACAGGGAGAGGTGCAGTAACTCGCCCAGAGTCACACTGGTGGGTGACTGACAGTGGGGAGCCTGACAGTTCACTCCTTTGCTCCCAAAGGCTCGAGACGAGTCTGAGTGGGCTTCATCTTCACTGTGCGCTCAGGCTCTCGGTTTGTCCTGACTTGGGCAATTTCATTTAACGCAAAGTCCTTACAAGCAGATAGTGGTAACGAAGTTTTACATTTCTTTGTATAGGAGCAAATCCTCTATACCAGGGACCAGGCTAAAACCAGACTGCCACTGCCCCGTCTTAAGCCCAACTGTCCTCAGAAGAGCAGCTGCTGTGATCATGGGTAATATCTTTGGAAACCTGCTCAAGAGCCTGATTGGAAAGAAGGAGATGCGCATCCTCATGGTGGGCCTAGACGCCGCAGGGAAGACCACCATCCTGTATAAGCTGAAGCTGGGGGAGATCGTCACCACCATCCCTACCATCGGTAAGGCCACAGCTTGGAGGTAGGCGTTCATGCCAGTAACCAGGCAGGGGGCCTATTCCTGTATCCTCCACCTGGCCTCTTCTCCCCAGGCAAGTCCATGCAGTTTGTGGGCCTCGGGAAGGATGGCGATTTAGCTTAGTAGCAGGTGCTGGGACTGCCGTTTGCCCATACCCCAGCCCTCTCTGATGCGGGAACTTCCGCAGCCTGGCATTCATCAGTTGCCCTCAAGCTCTGAGCTAGTTTGTTCTCTGTGTTGTTTGGAAAGCAGGTGAAGGGCTTTGATGTTCCTGCCAGAGGGTTGGGATTGCTTCAGTTTAGATCCTCGGTGGCCCTGAGCCTGGTTAAGACCTGCCTGTGGGAGGGAGAGCACTGCCTTGTAGATGGGGCTCCAGATCATCATCTGCAGCTGGTTCTGCATTTGGGGCTCCAGGCGATAGCTCGCTGCTTTTTCTTCACTCTGCCTTGCAGGCCCTACTTCTTAGCTGAGGCAGACTCTGCTGGTCAGGGTATAGGAGTGGGGATGAGTCATTTCTTTGTAGGAGAGAGATCCAGAAACTGAGAGCATGAGTGGAGAAAGTTGACTCGCGTTACCCAGGCTACTGTGAGCCTCCTGACTGGCCAGTCTCATACTCTTCACTTCTCTTAGGGTTTTTTTTTTTTTTTTTTTTTACTTTAGGCTCCTGAGTCAAGGAACACCAGGTCTTAGGTTTTCTCTCCCTTGCTGGGATCACGGCCAAAAGTGGGAGAAATAGAAAGGAACCCCTTGGGGCGTCATTTATAGACTTCGTCATTTATAGAGCAAGTGGCCATAGCCTGTTTTTTCCCAAAGGGTTCAATGTGGAGACAGTGGAGTACAAGAACATCAGCTTCACAGTGTGGGATGTGGGTGGCCAGGACAAGATTCGACCTCTCTGGAGACACTACTTCCAGAACACCCAAGGTATGGAATGTGAATCGCCCAGGGGCTGGCAGGGGCTGGCTGGGTGTGAGCAGAAAGTGCGGCTGTCATTCTTGGTTGGGGGCCCTAAGTCCTTGCCCTGCTCCCAGGGGTGCGAGAAGGGGAGGAATGGGAGCGACTGTTGGGAGGGTATGAGGGGGTGTTTGTCTTTTGGGGGGGGAAGAGGGGAACTCATTTGTCACCTCTGAGCAGTCTGTGCTCCGTCTCCCTAGGGTTGATATTTGTGGTCGACAGCAATGATCGGGAGCGAGTGAATGAGGCCCGGGAGGAGCTGATGAGGATGCTGGCAGAGGATGAACTGCGGGATGCTGTGCTCCTTGTTTTTGCGAACAAACAGGTGAGACTCCCCCCTGCCCCTAGATTTAAGAGCGGGCAACCCTGCTGTGGAATTCATGGGGCCCCAGGGCTCACTGTGTGGGAAGCCCCGTGGCTGTGCTCTCAGCTTTGGAGATGTGGGAAATGTGATTAGCTCACTTCATGCACTGCTCCTGGCCCCCCACCCCAGCTGTACTTAGTAACATTTCCTTCCTAAGGCTTGGTGTGGTATGCACAGCACCTCAAATCCTCCCTTGTCTTCCCTGCTGTCTGCTGTCACGGAACACCCCTCATTCCTTGGCCAGGCAGACTTGATTCTTTGCCCAGTCTGAATCACCTCTTCACTTTCCTAACAAACCCACATTTGGTTTCCAGCTCCCTAGTGGATTGCTCTCTAGTTCCTTGGACCTGGAGTCCCAGGATGAGTAACCCCAAAGTAGCTCCTTACGATCTTGTTCTGGGTGCCTCAGGGCAGGAGCTGGAGAGGGTATGGCTCTCTCTGTCTGGTAGATGGGTGCTCTAGAAACCTGTCAGATCCTGAGGTTCCTTTTTTTGTGTATCCCTTGTGCTCCAGGATTTACCTAACGCTATGAATGCTGCTGAGATAACAGACAAGTTGGGCCTGCATTCCCTGCGTCACCGCAACTGGTACATTCAGGCCACCTGTGCCACCAGCGGGGACGGGCTGTATGAAGGCCTGGACTGGCTGGCCAATCAGCTCAAAAACAAGAAGTGAGAGCCAGGCAACCCTATCTGAGCACCCTACCCACCCTGACACACCTACTGTTTCCCTGCCCCAGCCCTACCCCTTCTTTCCTGTTGTTCAGTGTGGCCAGGGCCCCGGATATCACGTCCCCATGCCCAACAAGAGCCTTTTCTCCCCTCCTCCCCTCTTCTTTCCTGTTCACCAACATGACCAGTCCCCAGTTGCTGTCCTGATGATGAATCATTCCAATTTACCAGATTTAAAATGAAAACAAGGTTGTTATGGTTTCCTGGGGTGCCGCCCCCATATTCTGGGGAGGTAGGGTGGGATAGTCTCTCCGTTTGCTTCGTTTGGCTCTGGTTGCCATGCTCTTGGCATCTGAGGCCCACCCCTCTCCGCACAGGCCCCTATCCTATGCCCCATCATCTTCACCGCCTTCTCCCTGCTCTCCATGGAAATTGCACGGGCCTCTCTGTGTGCATGCGTGTGTGCGCGTGTATATACATGTATAGAGAGATATATATGTGGGGCCAGGGGAGGGTGGAGGGGGTGGAGTGCAGATCAAGGGCTTGGAGCCAGGACTTTGCCCACTCTAGCCCTTTGCCCCTCCCACGTTGGTGACATACAGGTGAAGAAGGCGGAGGGGAGGAGGCTGCCATGGTTTTGCAGTGTTCCTCTCCTCTCTGCAGGTAGGTTTTCCAGGATGAAAGGACAGATGTGGATTTTCCATCACCATTTTGCTCATCTCCCTCTCCCCGCCCTGCTGATGGCAGTGGGGTGGCGTTTATCTCTAGGTGACTGTTCCCAAGGAGATGTCACTTTGCCTTCCCTTGAGAGGGGAACCCACTCACTCTTTACCAGTCCAGAGTGTTAAACTGCTCCTCCCCCATGTCTTTAGCTCTCTCCCTCAGGAGGTTTAGGAGGAGGTGGCAATAGCGAGACCACAGTGTGTGGAGACCTGGGGCATGGGGGAGAGGGCCTCAGGTTTTCCATCTCCCTCCTCTTGTTACTAGTGATCGCTTGTATTCCTGTCTTCCCATGCCCCCCTCCCCTCCAATCTTCTGATCTCGAGGACTTGGTTGGTCATGTGACCTTTGTCAGAAGTTCCTTCCCCCTGGTAGCCCCACTGGCCTGACCAAGACTGGTTGGGTGGTGTAATGGGAGTGTGGGAGTGGGGGTGACTTAACAGACCTCAATAGCAATCCCCCTATTCTCCATTTCTCTTTTTCTGGTTCAGGATATGCTGAAGGATGAGTATTTTCTATTCGGTTTTCAGACCCTCAGGCCATCCTGCCATCTCTCCTCTCTCCTTCCCAACAGCTTGCCCCTGTCCTCTTCACCCGGGTCCCGCAAATGGGGCTGGGGCTTAGAGTGTAGGAAACAACTCTGAAGTGGTTGTTGGTGCTGCTCTGATGCAGTGGTCTTCAGGGTCCCCCATTACCATGTAGTTTAGAAACTGCTGCTACTGCATCTCCCTGTCTACAGGGGGCGCTGGCCCTGGGGTCCTGGCCTGGGTCCTGACTTCTGCAGTTTCTGTGACGCATGGCTTTTCTGGGGGCTCTTGTGTGTGCTGGCTGCGCCTGAGCTCCAAGACAGCCGCCCAGAACCTTTCTGCTAAGATCAGGAGCCAGGACCCCCACACCATGGCTGAGGGACCCCTTCCCAGAAGGGCTGTCCCAGACCCCACTCCAAGGGACCAGGCTTCCTGCCACCGTTGTCTACAACAGATAGATCAGTATAACCCCACCCCACCCCACCCCACCCCAGATTGAACTGTGAAAGAGGTTCCAAGGGTCTCTCCCTCAGTGCCAGTTCCTTAGTGACGTGTCACTTACCCAAGATGCAGTGGGTGTGTGCAGGTCTGTTACTCTGTAGGCCTTCGTGTGTATGTGTGTGTTTGGTGACTGGGGCGGGGGGGGGGGGCGAGGGTGGGTTGTTGGAGCTTCTGTTTCATTTTAAAATGTATTCATTATTCATTCACTCCCTGGACCCCACAGATGCTTCCTTCCTCATTTTTCCTTTGTTTCTGTCTCTACTTCCTTTTTTTTTTTTTTTTTTTTTTTCTCCTGCTCCTGTTGCCTCTCCTCCCCGAGCTCTCTCCTTGCCTTGGAACTCCTTCAGTGCCCTTGCCTCTCCGTCTCTCCTCACCGTGTTTCTCTCCGTGCGGGCTCCCTACTCTCTGCGCTTGGAGGGACTTTGCCTCTTCTCCTGCCTCAGCCCCTCTCGGACTCTCGGTAGTTAGATGCTAGTCTCAAGTGGGTTTCTTCATTTCAGGCCCACCCCCACGTTATTTTGGGGGCCTTCCAGGGCCGGTGGGACTGAGGGTGTTCTGCAGCAACCTTGGAGCTTGCCTTGAGCTACTTGATGTTGCCCAGCAGGGGGCAGTAAGTGACCTGGGCATTTTCCGTGGCCCGTGGCGGGTGGGCCTTTCTGCATTCCCACCCACCTGAAAGTTCTTTGGGATTGGGTGTTTCATCCCATTTCTGTCCACCCCTGCCCTGACTCTCCTCTGGTAAGTTTAATTTTATGCTTCCTTTTGTTCCAGACTTTCTTCTCCCTGGGGATTTCCCCTCTTTCCCCCAAAGTTTATTTGTGGTGTTATAGTGGTAACTGCAGTTCAGAACTGGTTTTTCTCTTTTTTCTCCTCTGGAATGTAGACTGTATATGTTTAATAACTCACTTCTCTCCTTGCTCAAAATGTGGGATACGCAATGACTGTGACCCTGGTTGGAAATTAAACTTGTTTTATGCAGCTTTGGAGCAGACCTTCATCCTTGATGGGCAGCAGCCACGACAGTGGTTTTCATGGTGAGAGTGTTCTGTCTCCCGCCCCTCCAGACTGCTCCTCCTCTCAGCAGAGGCGGAAAGGGAACACTGACTGGGGGAGAGTGTGGTTGTGGGGGAAACTTAGACAACGCCGTGCTCTTGGCATCTGAGGCCCACCCCTCTCCGCACAGGCCCCTCTCCTACAGGCCTCTCTTCTTCCCAGCCTACCCCAGAAGGAGCTAAATGATTTGGGCACCAGAGTCTTTTTGAGCTTTGTGTCTTTGCTCCTCTCATTCTAAAGGGTTTAACCCTGATTGTAGCCATATTTATCACCTGCTGATAGACTTTAGGCGCTGCAGTGGCTAGCAGGCCCTGAAGCGGGAGTGCCCAGGCTGCCCCCGGCCCCGGGCACTGGGTGCTCTGGTTGGAACAGGCTCCTTTTGTCCATAGATTGGCGTTCCCTCCCCCATCTAGTTCTGGCTTCTGCAGTGTATAAGCCTGGCAGGTATTTCAGTGGTACAATAAACTCAGCCCTCCTTGTGGCTGACAGCCCCGCATCACTTCTGCTTCAGGTCCGTGGTTCCCCTTTGTCAGGATACCAAGCCCCATCCGGAGTTTCCGCAGATGCCTTGGGGGAAAGACCTGGTCTCTTGAAGCCTTCATCTCTCCCCTTACACTCCCAGCCCTACTCTGTTCCTGCTGCTACTCTCTGACTCCAGGCGAGAAAGGGACGGTGTTACCCTAGTAGGTACCTGGGTCTACGTGAGCCCGATGGGTTGTCCCCACTCTTAGCTCTTTATTAAGCTTTGAGGACAGAGGTCTCAGTGCCCCGATGTGGAAAGGCACAGGATCTGGCATGCAGGAACCAGAGCCCTGGGTGCCAGTGTGAAGTGTGTCATTTGCATTCAGTTACCTCCCTGCTGCCTCCCCTGGTAATTTTCCTTTTCAGTCCCTCTCCTGTTCTTTACAGGCCGTCACCCTCAGGACCGGGGCTCTGTCCTCATGAAACCCTAAGACTACTCCCACCAGACATCACTTTAATTATTCCCATAAACTTTGAACATTTCCCACTTACCCCTCAAAAATCAGATAACACTTTTCTTCTAGGCGCCTCAAAAAGGCCTGCTTGGTGACAGGTTACTGATAAGTCAGGAGCACCTTTCTCAAGTGCTTTATTACTTACTTTGTTACCTATTATGTACTAATAAATAGGTGAGCCAAATGGGTCCTCCCCACTCTTAGCTCTATTAAGCTTTGAGAACAGAGATCTTAGTGCCCTGATGTGGTAAGACACAGGATTTGGCATACAAGAATGAGTGCTTCTCATAAGGTAACGATGAAGACTTTAGCTGAATTGTAGGCCTGTGTGGTGGGAGTGGGGGTGGTCTTTTAATCCGTGAACAACTTGGCGAGAAGGAAGGCCTGGTCCTTTAGTACTCAGTTTAGAATGCCAGGAAAGAGGCAGAGGGAGCCCTCTTGTGGTGGTTGCTTAAACCTTCCAGCTTGTCTTTAGGAGACAGGTGAAAGGGACACAACTGGAAGGTAAATGCTTAGCACCCAGTTCACAGGGCAGACAGCAATTCTATCTCTCCAGAACACAAATAGCTCTTTGGTCGTGTTTTGGCCGAAGACCTGGGCCTAGAATGCAAAATAATCTCGGCATGGGAGCTTCCAGAGTGAGTCTGGCGAAAGCCAGTAGAAGGCCTTGGATTAGGATGGAGGGAAAATCTGCCCATTTCATTCCCGAGTGTGGCGGCAGTGACAAGAAGAATGCATGTGGATGTGTATGCGTTTCTCAGCCTGGAGATATATGGTCTGAGGGCTCTGGGGATTCACTGCATCATTTCTAGTTCAGGTATCTAGATTGATCAGAGCAAAAATTTAGACATTTATATAGCACCTTTTATGTTTCCAGGCATGTTCTAAGAATGGCGTCAAACCAGTGTACTGAAGGAAAAACCTGGAAATCCACTTCTGGGAGGGTCTGGAATTCTTCGGGATATCCATAGCGCATGTGTGGGGTCATGGCAGTGGAGAGTAACTGTGTAGGGGATGCCATTCCTTTGCAGCTGCTCAGTCAGGGAGTGGTGTCTTTGGACAAGCAGTCATAATGCTAAGAACAGTTCTGAAAGGTGTGGAGGTCAGAAGGCCAGAGCTCGGTCTCTACTTTGTCACCTCAAACTGGAGGCATGCGATGCCATGCTAGTCAGCAGGGAGTGGTAGGACTTGGGTACTTTCCTCCTTGGCAGGCTTTTCATTCTAATTGATTACCTCGCCTTGGTTGCGGGGATGGGTAAGGAGAACTTCAGTTCCTTGGCAAAGGGAAGTGAAGGTCAGATCTGAGGAAGTCCAAGCCTTGGGTATAGTAAGGGGATCTATGCCACTGAAGGGTTAGAACTGTTTACCATTAAGACTTGGAGGTGAGGGCCTCCCTGGTGGCTCAAGGGGTTAAGCACCACACTATGAAGCACTCCACAACCTTAGCAACCCACATGGCGC